ATGTGGTATCAGTTTCGATTAACGATGAGTTATTGAATTTAATCGCAAAAAATTCACACTATACACACTATATTCGACATTTAAAATTTAGGATAACGTTCTTAAAACAGAATGAACACAGCACGAACATGGATGTACGCAAGGCCTTCCTTCATAATCAGTTATACAATTCACTTTAATCACGGATGTACGTTAGATGCACACAAGCGACGCAGGGCTGGATGTTCAAACGTAGCGTGCGTTATAATAATCCATACATACTGTACGTAAAAAAAATATATACTTATATATATATATATATATATATATATATATTTTCGAGTAAATGTTGGTAATAGACCATAATTTTTAAAATATTCTATAAATTCTACCGAATGTTTGGCGTTAATATGTTTGTAGTTCCTTTTTCGATTTTTCTCACTAAAGTTTTTTGGTGAACGTTTAGTTTATTAAAATACAAAATAAACTTATTTTTCGAATTCATGCTGCAAATACGGCCATATTTCGATTCCGAATGAATCATCGTCAGTGCTGCTTGCTGTATATATAGGGAAATATTGACTTTGTCAAGATTAACTTTGCTGTTCTGGTATATTACTTTGGTGTTGCTGTCGAGGATTTCCCTATATATATATATATATATATATATATATATATATATTCTCTAAATTCTAACGAATGTTTGGCGTTAACATGTTTGTAGTTCGTTTTTCAATTTTTCTCACTAAAGCTTTTTGGTGAACGTGCCCCATCATAAACCATATAAGTTTGGCCCCCCATTTCAAACCTGAAATAAAGCCTCTGATAACAAATGATGAAGTTTGATTGAAAAATAGATTTTTAGTTTGAAAACTATCAATTTAATTATTATGCCAATGTCATTATTCACTATTTATTTTGTTAATGTACCTTTTGAAAACGCAACATTTTGTTGATGATGCTGTTTTTATTTTAAATTTGTTTAATCTCGATTTAGACCTTTGGACTTAGGAGTCTTTGCTCATTTGTATTCTGCTTAGATGTAAATTTTGGCTATTTCTTTTTGAGAGTGAAGATCCATGCATGACTATATGAATGCACTTAAGATATAAAAAAAACTAAAAAAAAGTGTGATTTTATGTTTGTACTAATACAAATAAACAAATTAAATTTATTTTAAATGAAACAAAAGACATCCTGTTTTTCATTCACATTCAAACAAAGCAAACCAAATGCTTGGTCGAATAATAAATTTTTTCGGGAAATTTGATCATAAGTTGTTTCCTAATTTATACCTAACTTTTATTTGTCCACTGTTTGAGTTTGCAGTATCAGTTTTGACCCCAGATCTAAAGGGTGATAGCGAGGTAATCGAAAAAGTCCAGCACAGAGCAACAAAGTTGGTTCCATTTATAAGATACCTAGCTTATGAAGATCGTCTTAAAAAATTAGAATTAACAACTTTGGTGGAAAGAAGAAAAAGAGGAGATTTAACTCAATTGTTTAAAATCATGCATAATTTGGACAAAGTTGATTTAAATAATCGTTTTAGCTTAGTCAAAACCAAAACACCAGGTCACAGTTTGAAATATTTTAAAGAGTTAACCAGACATAGAGACAGAGAGAATTATTTATTCAATAGAGTCGCAAATACTTGGAACTAATTACCAAATGAACTTGTTGAGGCACAATCAATTAGCAAATTTAAAGCAATCAACGATTCAGCTGTGCTAGCATGCCTGACAGCATGCTCGCTGGATAACCTCCAAAACAGCATTACTGGTATTACTACTCTACTACTACTACTACTGCTACTACACCTGGTAAATTTTTGCGTTTTGTAGTTCCAATTTTGTTACAATTTCTGCCAGCCAATGATGTAGTTGTAGTCAGTTAGCAACTTGAGAACATACTTAAAATTATACAATTGCGTAAGTAAAGTAAGTAATATGCGTTAGTATAACTAACAAGACAAAACTATCTACACCACAACAAATGGCACCTATTTATGCAGCATAGCCTACAAAGGAGCAAGCACCAAAAAATCATGCAACTGAATTACTTGTGAGAAAGTGATAACAATCACATCCAATAGATTCCCATTATGCATGACAACATCCCTTGAATACTTGAGCAGCAGAGTTATGAGGAATATAAAATATGCAAGGACGTTTCAATGTACAAAGTCATACATACAATACATTCTGCTCGCTTTGTACATACCTTATTTTTCTGTGATTATTTATTGTGAATGATAAAATATGGCAAATATAATGCATGCATGCTTTTATAAGCGCAGCCTGTTTAAATAATCTAGTTGTGCAAAACATGAAACTTGTATGTGATTGCGAGAACGTTTTTATCTTATAGTCATAAGTATCTGAATCTGTTAAACCAAATGAAGCAAAACCCGACAAAATATTAGAACATCTATGTAATTATTGCCATTCTTGACTGTTTGTGTGCTTAAACCGCTTATTTATTAACGGAATGAGTGTATACAGCAAAGCTTTGCCGAACTCGCATATTGTTATAAAATATCGGTATTCGGCATAGGTAAAAGAAATACTGTTCTGATGAAAAATTTGTTCTTATAAAAAAATGCACTTATTATTTTAGAATTTCATTTGCTAAGTTATTTTGAATCATCATTTAAGGTTGACAATAATAATTTAAGTTGTTCAGGTTTAGTCAAACAAATACAAAAACCGATATGTTTTTCAAACGGAATAATTCTAATCAAACATCAATCAAATTAATAAAATCGATTTTTTCATGTGTGTAAAATAATAAAAAAAATGTAATTCTGACTTCTTATGTGACAAATTTTTTAAATTTTAATCAACAATGATTTTTTGTTTTGAAAGACTTATAGATTGTATCATATTAAATGACTATTTAAATAATTTTTATTAAGTTAAAAGATTTGATTTGATCTTTGGTTTAATGGCGGATGGATGCAAACATTTATTTTTCTTTAAACTATCTCGTTCTAAGTTATTTTCTATCGTTTCCTATAAATAATATGCTTTTTTTCAAGTAAACTCGTAGTAATTTATTACCCAAATTAATTTTGACATGAAATTAATATTACTAACAATTTCAATAATTCTCATCTTTTACGTTTTACGTTGGTTAGCTTTAATGACGTCTTGCAGGCTGCCAAAACTTGGCCAAAACTTTTTCCTTTGAGTCATTTGAGAATATTGTTACTAAAATTCTAGACAAGTCAAATGAAAACCTGGTAAGGGTGATAGCACTATCCAACGCCAATCTTGAAAAAATATTTGAGAAGTTCGACTCTAGTCTTACAAGAGTCATCGAAAGGTCAAACGAAAACTTGCGCAAATCAATGGCTCATTCTGAAGGATTGATGAGCAAACTCTTCGAATCAACGTTACTTCGAATGGAGGCCCTCAGCAATAGTTTTGAGCGAGCGGTTCGAAGCATGTCTGATGCAGTGACGGATTCGATGAATCAGCTCCACACAGCCATGTCCACATTGGGCACCAATATTGCCCAATGTCAAATTCAGATGCTGAAGATCAACGAAACGTCAATGATTGAGCAAATGACAAAGGCTCTGTGGACAGTAGAACAGGAGAAGAAAGATGAAGAGCATTGGGCCAACAATGTAATTATTTCTGGCCTTGTTTAACAAACTGGGGTTAATGACAGAGAGGTAGTTTTGGACTTGTGCGAAAAACATTTGACGGTGAAACCACAAATAATAGAAACGCTTCGTATAGGCACCTCACAAATTTGTGCAACATTGTCCGGTCAATCTGCAGTTGATGATCTGATTTCCTCAACAAGACTGCTACGCTCATCGCCCGACACAAAAAGTATTTTCATCAATCATGACCTGTCTAGAAAACAGGCCAAGCAAGCATTTCTCAAACGACAAGCACGACGCCTTCCAAAATTAAGCGGTGACAAAATCAAATTGGACGACCAAAAAAAGATCAGCCCTTTCGTTAAGATCAGACCTCTTCGAATGGCTTTGACCAACACCAAAAGTCTAAAAAACAAGCAGAACGATTTAATTTTATTTTTGTTGGACTACGATCCCGATATATTTTTTGTTGTCGAAACATGGCTACCCCCTGATGATCCTGATGAGATATTCTTACCGCCTGGCTACGCTTTTGTTAGAAAAGATCGCGGTATGACCTTCATCATCAAAATATTCACATATTGAAATAATATCCATTGATATTACCCAATCGTCTACAAATTACCGATTCATATTATACTATCGTCCTGGTGGTTATGACAAGTTGGCTGATGATTATACAATCGATAGCATCCAATGTATTAGAGAGTTATTAACTGGACTAATTATTCATCTTCGATTAATTCAATTTACAACTCCTTTATTCAACTCTTCAACAAACTTGGTCTGCAACAACTGGTTGATTTACCTACTCGGGGTCAAAATATTTTGGACTTGGTACTCTCGGATGATACCAGCTTACTAGCCGAACTGGATGTTATTAGTCCGCTTGCCTCGAGTGATCACAACATTATAACATTTCAAATCAATTACACCATCGACAAGCCACCAAGTATTGTTCCGCTCAACAAAACATATTTTCTAGATTTCAACAGGGCTGATTACAATTGTTTAAATGATTATTTGTCTAGCATAAATTGGGACGATTGTAAAAAAACATTTTCAGTAGGTCCAGACGGTATACCAAACATTCTTCTTAAAATTTGTGCATCAAGCCTGACTCTTCCATTGTGTCAAATATTTGACATATCATTTAAAACTAATTCTTTACCAACAAAATGGAAGACAGCTTTTATTACTCCTATTCATAAGAAAGGTCCAACCAATCTCCCAAACAACTGCCGACCAATATCACCGACTTGTTCATCATGCCGGGTTATGGAGAAAATCATCAACAAGAATATTATCTCACTTGCTAGATAATAATTTAATCACTAATTTTCAATATGGTTTTTTGCCTGCGAGATCAACTTCTACCAACCTCCTTAAATTTTTAAGCGATCTGTTATTGATTCGTCAACAAAAGGAAAGATGCGACACAGTCTATCTTGACTTCCAAAAAGCATTCGCTTCCGTTTCTCATGTCAAACTGGTTTGTAAATTAAAGGCTTATGGGGTGTCTGGTAGCTTGCTTTTGTGGATGGCTGATTTTTTTACATGGCCGTTTTCAAATCGTTCGGATTTAAAATAGGCTATCAAATTCCATTGCAGTGTCTAGTGGTATTCCTCAGCGAAGCGTGTTGGGACCCACTCTATTTCTAATTTTCATTAACGACATCGAGGATTGCATTTCATCAAACCCTGTATCAATGCTACTTTTTGGTTATGACATCAAATTATATACCAGTTCATTAAATTCCGTACAGTTACAACAGGTCATCGACAACATTGTTGTATGGAGTAACAGGTGGCAGCTACCACTTTCTCCCAACAAATGTTCTCTGTGCTCGTTTTTGCCAGCATCTAGAAATGTTCCAGCCGTACATCATTACTCAATTGATCACCACGCTTTAACGCCTGGTGAGTATTTTAAAGATTTGGGCGTAACCTTCGATAATCAATTGAAATTTAATCATCATATCAACGATATTACGCACAGAGCTTCTACTCGTGCTCGTCTAATCAGCAAATGTTTCACATCAAGAGATAAAAAGCTAATTATCAAAGTCTTCTGCACTTACGTTTGTCCTTTGTTAGAATACTGTTCATCCGTTTGGAGTCCTTATTATAAATATCAAGTATGCAAAGTGGAATGTGTTCAAAGACGATTCACGAAAGCCATTACTTCAGTTCGCCTTCATCCGTATTTGTCTCGATTGCACGCTGCTGGAATTCAAATTTTAGAACATTGCAGAGCAATTATTGACTTGTGTCTTGTGTACAAACTATTAAACAAGCTTGTCGTCTCAGATTTAAACGATCATTTTTGCCCCTCACAATCTTTGTCTTTTCGCCCAATATCTATCACCCCCATACTCTCACGTATTCTAGAAAAATTCATCGTTAGGTCATTCATCTATCCATGTCTCAACCATCTATACATCAAACCACTATTACAAGATCAGTTTTTAGCTGATTTTAGCTCTACTCTTTCATCTACTCTACCTATTAACTCTAGCGTATGTCAAGGTTCTGTCCTTGGACCTTTATCATCAATGCTTCTACTCTCAAAACTTTTCATAGCTCTAATCAAATCATCAAATACGCTGACGACACCTACCTTATCATCCCATCATCTAACTCAAACACCATCCAATCAGAACTCGACTCATTAACTTCATGGTCAAACGATGCAACCTGTCACTTAATCTCAATAAATTATTCGAACTCATCATTCACAATAGCCGTAAAAAAATAACATTACCTCCAGAACACCCATCAATCACTCGCACAAATCAATTAAAAATATTAGGCATCACATTCACCTCCACGCTCAATATAACGCCTCATATCAATCACATCATCACAAAAGGTTTTCAAACATTTCACGCACTCAAAACATTCCGTTCACAAGGTCTCAGAAGCATCAAATTATTCGACATCACTGAATCGCTCATCATCTTACGCATCAAATATGCAGCTCCCTTCTGGTCTGGTTTTGCTACACAACAACAACTACAGCAACTACAATCTCTCATCAAAAAACTAATTCGCTTCAACTATCTACCTGCATCATATCCTAACGTCACTCAGATATTCAACAAACTCGATTCAAGGCTGTTCAAAAAAGTAGAAAATAACAACAGTTACGTCGTCCATCCTCTACTAACACACAATCTTCGTCAGCACAAACATAACTATCAAGTCGTCTCCCAATCTACATACCAGGAGAAGACCTTCATCACAAGACACCTCAAACCTATTAATACTCACTAAAACTAAGTTATCATTACAGAACTAGTTTTTATTTATCAATCACCTCACTAACTCACCATCAAACATATTAATATTCATTAGAACTTTATCATTCACAGATCAATCAATCAATCTTCGTTTTGCGTCCAGAGACCCGGTTTCCCGAGGTAGGACGTTGTTTTCTTTGCCATCAACTTTTTGCGCCAAATTAGACGATCAGTTGTATCCATTTCATTTAAATTTAGAGCTTTCATGTCTTGCTCGATTGTTTGCGACCAGAACTTCTTTGGACGGTCCTTGGGACGTGTGTCAGGTACTTCAACATCTGCAAGAGAAGTTATGGCACTCTTTCCACTTCGTTTGATATGACCAGACCACCGCAGACGGTGTTGCCGGCATTCATCCTTTATATCATCTAAACCAGCACGACGCAGGATTTCGGTAGATTTGATGTGGTCCTTCAGACTAATTCGTTGCATCCATCGGAGCATTTTCATGTCGGTTCGTTGAAGTTGTTGTTCCAGTTTGGTTGTCATTGGCCATGTTTCTGCACCATATAACAGGCTGCACGTATGCATGCTCGAACGGCAGCTTCAGCTGTTCCAGTACAATCTAGAACATCCCCTAGATATTGAAACGATGTGACTTTCTCTATTTTAATGGCTTCAAAAACAGTGCTATTTCGAATTTGTTGTTGTGGATTGATGCAAGCAGGACAAACAAAATTGGACACTTTAGATAAAGTACCAATTATTTTTGAACAACGTTTGTGACACCACTGATTACACTGCTGACACTTGATTGAATTGTTACCTACACCAGCTTTACAAACTGAACAGGGCCATCGTCCAGTAGCTGTGGATTGGATGGGTTCACCAGTGTTCATTGCTTTGGTTTTGCTGATGTTGACTTTGAATCCATGATCGGCGAGTCTGGTGTTCCATTCTTCAAACATCTGTGCTGCATTCTGCTCAGACGTGGCTGTTAAAACGATATCATCAGCATATACTAGATTCCAAATGTCACCAGTGCGTATCGGTTTTGTGATTTCTTCCATCACAGTTATAAATAACAGTGGACTGAGAATCGAGCCTAGTTGTTCTTCTCACGGAAAATTTTGTGGTCATCTACAGACTTTGATTTTTGCCGTTGCTTGTATGCAACTTTCTTTTCAGCTATTGCATTTTGTACACTGTCATTCCACTACCAAGTGTCACGTTCATGCTGACGTTTTGTACCAGTTTTCCCACAAACTGTAGTTGCAGCGTTCATTAAAACGGTTTTGTATGTACCCCAATCTGTACTGGCTTACGATTGGTGGTCTAACTGTGTGGCGACAATCTGTTGAAATTATTCTCGATGAATATTGCTTTTCAGCTTCCACGTTTTGATTCTCCGAGGCATTTGTTTAGACTTATGTTTTGACAGTTCGACAACCAGGTCTGCCACAAGAAGTCTATGTTGAGCGACACATGATTCGCCAAGTATAACTTTGACGTTTTTGAACAGCCTTCGGTGTAGTTGCTTGACAGCAAAGAAATCAATTTGCGTGGCTGATGGCCCACTTTTGTATGTTATGAGATGTTCCAACCTCTTTCTAAAATATGTGTTCAGTAAACAAAACCCGTGACTTTCAGCAAACTCAAAGATGCGGTTGCCATCTTCATTCCGTTTTCCATAGCCAAAACCGTCATGTACGTTGTCAAAACCATCTGTTTTCTTTCCAACGTGGCCATTGAGATCGCCTCCAATCAGGATTGTTTCAGATTTTGGTATTGTTGAGATGGTGTCAGAGAATGCAGTCCAGAAGTCATTTTTCATCTCTTCTGATTCGCCTGTCTGTGGTGCGTATGCAGAAAAAATAATCATTGTTTGCTTTTCTATGCGAAGCTTGATCCACATGAGACGTGAATTAATCTTTTTAATATCCAGTACTTCTTGTGCTAGCGGTTCTCTGACCAAAATCCCAACACCATTTTTGGCCGTCTTTTGACCATTCCAAAATAGTTTATATTTTTTTTTGTCTGAGTTGACATGACAGACACCATTCGATTTTCATCGGGTTTCCTGAAGGCAGCAGATGTCAATCCTTCTACGCTCGAGCATTTTTGCGATTTCCATGCTGCGGCCAGTCAGTGATCCAACATTGAGCGTTCCAAGTCTAAGTACCATAGAGAGGCCATTCTGAATTTTTCTGCAACATCCCTCCGCTATTGCATACTTCCCAGGGATTCTTGGCACCCCTTGACCACTTAAGGCCTGCTGGGGACTAGGGGCCGTTGTTTTTCTTTGTGATGGCATAGGAATAATTTGGGGAAAAGTTTTTACATCCGGACACCCATCCTGACGACAACCACCAGTTTTAAGCGGTGGGCCTAGCCTTTCACTCAAAAGCACGCAAGGCAGCGTGGATGCAGTTTTATGTCATACCCAGGACGTAAAATGCAACTAGTGAACCCCAAAAAACTAAAAAGGAAAGATTAAATGTTTCCAATATATCACTCAATGTATTAATGTAGTGAGAATGGATTTTTAAATCAATAGAACATATCACACAAAATTTAATTTTGAACTCTGACAAAATAATTGATCAATGAGACTACAACTAGTCAACTTTTCAAGTAAGGTTAATTCTACACCTATCTCCCGATTTACACAGTTGATACGTTCCTGAAAAAAACGTGTAAACCGAAAATTAAAAATTTTCAAGTCAAAACCGTGTAAATCGAAAAGCTTGCAGAAAATGCATAATTTTGCTATTTAACAGTTTTGATTTTTTTCAATATTTTTAGGTATACACAGAAATAAAAATAAAATGCATTGACAGGTAATATATGTAAATAAATTACGGAAACACTGTTTTTTTTTATTTAATTACAATAAATTAAACAGAAAAACAAAAAATAAAACCAAAGGTGTTTTATTATCATTCATCACTGTCAAAAATTACTCTCATTCTTTTTTTTGGAATCAAAAGTTCGAATTCACATTCATCACTCGAAATTCTTTGTGCCGAATCGATGTTTGAAGCAAAAATATTTACATTATGAAAAATGGTAATAAAATCCGTTATTAACAATTGCTTCAAATTTTTGTAAGATCATTGTAAACTTCTTCATATTGAGCCAAGCAAGCATGTGTTTAATCACAGTAGCATTTAGTAGAGTGCGATAAAAATAAAAAAAATTATTTGGAAAACCGTGTAAAAGAGAAAACGTGTAAAACAAGTGCTGTGTAAATCAGGGGATAGGTGTATATAGGATCAAAAAAAAATTGGTAATCTTTCACTTTACATCAGTTTATCGGTTGGTAATCTTTATCAATCTATTCTAGCAGACATCTAACTTTTACACATAAATAGTTTGTGTTTATTTATGGTTTATTGGTTGGTCACCCTAACTCTTTCTAACATATCTCACAGAATTTCAATACCGATGTTTATGCAGCAAGAATGATGCATAAACATTATTCACTATTCTAGCAGACAACCACTAACTTTTACACATAAATTGTGTCCAATGATTTTTTCCATTTTTTAAATAATGATCCTAAGGTGATTTGAATACATTGAGATAAACCAATGTAAAGTGAAAGATTACCCAAAAAATTAAATTTGAGTAGCAAAAATAATAGACAAAATTGAAGATTTGTTACTTGTCTAAAAAACCCAATAAACATTAATTCAACAAGCATTCCCTAACCCCAGCCAACTTATTAAAAAATAAAAATCATTATGAACTTGAAATTACTTAATATTTTATAAAAACATTTAATTTACTATACTTTTTATTTTTCGAAAACAGCTTAAAACTGAATGTTTGTTAGCTTTTCCCGAGAGATTTGTCTTTGTTGCCAAATGCATATTTCTTAAACCTCAATGGCTTCAGAACTTAACTAATGAATGCTCAGTACCATTACTAAGTTAAGAAGAGTATGTTCATCTGTTCCCAACAAGCAAGTTAAATAAGGTTGATCATAACTTAATAAAAGAAATCTGATCAAAAACAGCAAATTTACTATAATTAAAAATAAAAATAAATGCACCAACATTTATCATTCACAGATCTAGTTTTATTTATCGATTACCTCATTAACTCACTAAGTCATCATCTAGTCTATTAATTTGCCGTTACTTCATTTTATATTTCATTGTCAATTACTTTTCTTTTAATATATTTATTATTATTATTTATTTTTTTCTAACTTATTTCAATTTCATGTTTTAACATTTTTCTTCCTCACTTTTTGTATTTATTTACTCACTTATTTGTTTAATTTCGTTCTACTGCCTTGCATGTTGTTACAGTTTCTGCATCTGTCAGATCCTGATTTTTGAAGAGTAATAAAAAAAACTCGTGGTCATCACAATAAGCAAAGTGAACCAACCAACAACAATAACATCACCAAAAACTTCTTTTGTAACAGAATTGTCAGAATGTGGAACGCTTTACCGGAAGAAGTAGTTTCATTTCCATCTTTTACAGTTTTTAAGACTAAATTACTTGCTACCGATATTAGCAAATTTTTGATTTATTGATCGATGGATTTAACTAGTTTTATTTTTCTTTTATAAAATGCTTATCCGCCATTACAAATTGCTTATCAACGACCATTTCGTTTTAACAATTCTATGTTGTTTACTCTGTATTACCGTATAAGATTTAATTTTTTTTTATCATTAATTGTCGGCTTAATCATTAATCATTATGTATCTTACTTTTCTTTCCAATTTTTAATTCACTGTATACATGACAAACTGAACAGTAAGATCGAGATAATGACATTTATTTTCAAGGATCCATTTATTTTCTATTTGCCATTTTATTTATTTGAACTACAATTTATCTTGTTTTTGGTCAGACTGGGTAATGGATCGTTGGGCCCTCTGGTCAGTTACGTTAATAAATAAAATAAATAAATAAATTTCTGTAAAAAATAAAAACATTAATTTGGAACAACAGGGTGGGCTCAATAAATCAGAGTTGCAAGCCACGCCTCACAGTGTACTTGGTTCAAACAAAAAAGGATGCCTACCTATTACAAGCAAAAGTGCATTAACATTGATGCATATTTGCATACGTGTGTCATTGTTGAAAATACGCTTTAATTGTATAGGTTGACTAACAATCGACGCGTGAGAATTTTTATTATATTCTTTTACGGTTAATTAATAAGTTATCTATCACACGTCTGAATTGAGTTTATAAGTTATCAAATAAATAACTTAATTTAAAAATTTTTTTTTCTAAACATTCAATGTGGTAGCAGTTATATTTTTTGATCATCCAAAATTTATTTCCGTTAAATGCGTGTATATGCAGTTGTGTACGAAGTTATATGCATAAGGTAGGTAACGTGTCTGCTTGTATGTAGGGCAGCTTCAACCTTTCAGTTCATTTTATTAAAAGACTTGATGTGTACTGCTCAATATTCACATGCGAGCAAATGAGCTTATACAGTATTGTATGAATTCTACCGAATTGTTGGCATTAACCAATTTAAAGTTAGTCATTTCAATTTTCCTTACTAGAATTTTCTTGAAATTGTTCAATTTGGACCGGTGGTTTGGAACAGTCTACCGGCGTTTCTAAGAAAATAAGATCTATCTTTGTTTTTGTTTCAAAAGCAGCTGAAGACTCATTTATTTTTGCAAAATTAACAATGTCTTTGTCTCCGTTTGATTAATGTTTTGTTTGTTCATTTATTTTAGGGAGCGCTTTTGAGATCTTTCTTTTTTGTAATTAGCGCTGTATAAATTGACTTGTAATATATATATATATATATAGATATATATATATATATATATATATATATATATATATATATATATATATATATATATATATACCTCACAGCACTTCCCTCTGTGCGCGTCTTCAAACTTCCTATATAGGATGACTACTACAACACTATCGCGTAGACCCACCTTGCACAAAAGAGACTGTGCAATAAAAAACCATCTTAAAACTTTCCACAACACCCCAATAACTAGGAACCTTTAGATAACAATACAAAAATTCTATACAACAATCAACAGCATTACAACCTAAGAGTTGCAGAAGCCATTTTCATCAAATCTGAAAAACCTTCCATCAACATCCAACAACGAATCACAACAACACTTCCAACTCGAAGAATGAACAACAATAAAGTTAATCGGATCAACCAGCAATCTAACAATGATGATAATAACAATAATGATAATAACAACAACAACAACACCATCAACAACAACAAGAGCAGCAGCAGCAGCAACAACAACAACAACAACAACAATAATAATAATAAAGACAATAACGATAACAATAATAATAATAATGAATTAACTAATTTCGCGTCTTACAATTTGGACGCTTTTTTTTGCCTCCTTGACAACTATCGTTTAAACAATTTTAAAATTTTTCGTTATTAAAATTTTTCATTACAATTTCATGATTCTTTTTTGAATTTATTTGTATATATTTTTAATAATATTAAAACTGTAATAATACTAATTAATAAATTTATAAAAAATGCACTGATGATGACGGTTTATCTTCAATAATTTTGATAGAATGTTTGTTAATAAAAATAATGCTTCAATTTTAAACAGACTCAATCTTGTCGATAAAAATTTACTAAGACAAATCGAGAAATTCGAATACAAGTTGATGAATACTAATAAATCGGTGGAATTTATTACATATTGTCAAGAATTCGGTCTTCTACCAGATATATATATATATTGTTCCGTTTTTGTGTCGTTGTTTTTACAGCGACTTTGATTGTAACTTAATTAGAATTAAAGTTAATCATTTGTTTATATATTCATATGATTTACGATCAACCGTTAGAAAAATCGAAAAATAAATTGGAAATTAACTAACGCCGAACATGTTATGTATTTTATCATGAATAATTGCATTTCTGAGAGTCTTAATCAAATTTAATCGAAACTGATACCACATCGAACAACATAACATTACAGTCATTGAAATGTTATATTTTATTTTATATTTACATAACCTGGTTTGTTTCATTGTTTA